GAACCTCTAGGATTAGTAGATTATTTAAGGTGAAATTAGAGGTGGGTGTTTTCAATCAATGGGAGGATGATCAGGTGTGAGTGGGCACCGTTCGATTTAAAGAACAGGGATCTATCAAGATCTGCTCTTTACAACACGTTTGAGGAAAAGTATCATTGTATGAACAAAGATTTCTGAGGACATCTGCATGAGAACCTTATCGCATATGTGAAACATGATGGTAGTAGTATCATGGTTTGGACCTGTTTTGCTGCATCTGGGCCAGGACAGCTTGTCATCATTGATGGAACAATGAATTCTGAATTATATCAGAATTCCAGAGGAACATGTCAGGACATCTGTCCAAGAACTGAATCTCAAGAGAAGCTGGGTCATACAGCAACATGACCCTAAACACACAAGTGGTTCTACCAAAGAATACAAAAAGCGTTCAATACAAAAAATGTATTGTATTGAATACAATAAATTACCTACATACTATACCTACCAAAGAATAGTTCATGTTTGAAATGGCCAAGTCAAAGTCCTGACCTTAATTCAATCCAGATGTTGTGGAAGGACCTGAAGCAGCAGTTAATGTGAGGAAACCACCAACATCCAGTTGAAGCTGTTCTGTACAGAGGAATGTAATAAAATAAAAGTTCCTCCAAGTTGGTGTTCAGGACTGATCAACAGTTACCAGAAACATTTAGTTAGTTATTACTGGGGGGGTCACACCTGGTACTGAAAGCAAAGGTTCACATACTTTTAGTTCTCACAAATTTGTAATATTGGATCATAGATAAATTTTATGTTGTCTCATTTGTTCAGCTGGATTCTTTTCATCTACTTCCAGGACATGTGTGAACATATGTTGTTTTATTTAGGTCATATTTATGCAGAAATATAGACAATTCTAAAGGGCTGACAAACTTTCAAGCACTACTGTATATGCAATAAGTTTATTTGACAAGACAAACATACAAATAAGAATTAAACAATTAAAACATACTTCAGACAACTTCTGACCGTTATCAAAATCATGTATTTGAAGACTGATAATTTATAGGTTTTCTATTTCACATGACAAAAATATTTACACAATCTGCTTTAGAAGGATCATTCAGAGTGTTCAGTCTATCTTCTTATCTGCTGCTAGAGTAGCTCCATTTGCAGCGGCCTCCCTGTTGCTTTCAGGCTGAAAGAAAATGATTTTTAATTTGTAAAAACTGTTATTAACAACAAACACATTATATACTGACACAATAGTTATCATTTGCTTACCTTGTGCGTTCCATTACTCATTTCACTGACTTTCTGATCACTGGGGCTCGTATCCTGGACTGCTTTTTTGGTCCAGAAGGTGTTAATGATGGGGGAAATAAAGGGATAGATGATGGGTTCCAGGAACCTCTTGTAGACCCACAGCAGGACAGGAATGACAATGCAGGGAATGCACACCATGACTATGGCTCAGATGGGCTTTCTGAAACAGAGAACCTGAAGCAAAGAAAAAAGGAAATACAACACTTCTTAATAATTAATTTTAAGTTGAGACGAAGCTGAACTGTTCACCTGCACACTGACAGGGTCTAAAAACCAAGAATTAAACTGTAGATTGAAAGGTGGCTGATGTTTCATCAATAGTGGTTATTCTGTTACTAATAGGTTAAACTGGCTAGCCTAACCATTGTAAAAAC